ATATTGCCAGTGCACCCTGCTTGTTTAAATGTCTGAAATTCCTCTGCTCCTCTCCTGTCCTGACTAACAGAAACACCATGCCATTATAATGCAATAGCTTTTCCCTTACCCCATCTGAGGCATTAAGGAGTGTATTAGCCAGAGTTGGATGTTCAATGGAACCTTGACACCCTGTTCTTCTTTTGCTGTGATTTTCTGATGAAAATCAATTCCTTTGTTTCACTCTCTGTGGGGTTTTGTTTCTATTCTTCTGTTTCACATATATGCTGGTTCTTATCCCCTGAGTGCTTATCATCCCTTGTGCACAGGATTTTGTCAAAGTGCTTTTGAAACTTCATGTATGTTAATCAATCAGTTAATCTACTTACAGACATTTTCCAATAAATCCAGGAATTACATAAGAACTGATTTCCACTGCTGAAATAAGGCTGGTTACATCTAGAATTTCCATATAACTTGTTCTTCTTTCAGCCAAGTCAAGTTGCCATGTACAGTGTGAAGCCTATTAATACCCCTGTTCAATTCTAAATATATGTAGTATTTTAAAGCATTTTATGACAGAAGTTTTTAACAAAAGCTTGTGTATTTTTGTTAGCACCTCACCTGCCTTATGTCTCCATGCAAGTTTTGTGGGTAGACATGTTTGGAGATTTTTAAAAAAAATTGTATTTTTGTAATTGCTTTTTTTCTGCATACCTTCTTCTAACTCTTTGGTCTCTGAGTCTTGACTGAGAGGCAGGGGGGATGCTCAGAACTTACCTGATATGGAGAAGGCATATGAGGGAAGGGGAATGCCAACCAGACCAAACTACTCATGCTTCAGGCTTCTCAGACCAGATAGATCCTGAAAGTGTGACATACACTGAATACTTAGATGTACAAATACAACAGTTGCTGCAGACATGATTGATTAAAAAAAAACAAACAAAACAACTCAGCAGGAACAATAAGCATACTATGCTTCTTGCATAGTAGCTGAGTGGTTGGAGCATTTTGTGGATGAGAGAAGTTGTCCCTATTCCAAGACATCAGTCCATATTTTGTCCTGTTCTTCTCTAGTCTAAAAAGCGTAGATTCTTCAGGGAATATGGATTTGAACACTGTTGCCTCTTTACCATGAACTTAAATGCTAGGCTAAAAAACCCTCAGATTTCTTTTCTTTACTGTGTTCCTGGGTGTCACCTCCTTATAGCCACACTGGCAAAGGTAATTCTTTTCCCAATGAGACCATTTTCTTGAAAAGTGAAATACCTGAAAAAGGCTGATAGGGACCAAAAGCCATCCCCATTCATGGGGAAATGCTGTAGGATGGTTCTGTTACACAGAAGGTTGATCTTAGAACAATCTACTGTCTATCTTCCCCATTGTAACTGAAGAACAGTATGTCCCTTCAGATTGCCCACAGCAGAGGAGCCTGCTCTCAGGCCCCAGGACTGTGTAGCTTGCAGACACCTCTCCCTTTGGCAAAGTTTCTTTCCAAGTAACTACTACATAGGCTGCCTAAGAGCTTACTGCTCTGTACAGACCTGCTATGCTCAAGTGCCCAATATTATGCAAGATGATGTCTAGTTTGAGGGAACCTAAAATTACTCTTCTTGCATAGAGGAAGAAAAAAAAAGGCATATGCCAAAAAAAAAAAAAACCCAAACCAAACCAAACCAAACAAAAAAGGCAGCCTGTCAAAATTGTCCGCAGGTGAAAAAACCCCTACCATGAATTCCAGATGTAATCCCAAGTGACTGTTTCCCAGCACTGCCTATTACTGTGAGCAACTCCCTACTGAACCTGAAAGCTCCTCAGGCATTTAACTATATTCACCCACACATGTTAAGGAGATCCTGTTCTGGGGAGATAGGCACTTATCTCTTGCCTCAAGTCCCAGTACAATCCAGCTTAGGAAGACAGGCATTTAAATCCCTTTTAGAAGCCTGAAAAATTAGCAGCAGTCAGAATTATGTCTGGCTTTTTCGGACATGGGCCATCAGCTCCCACATAGGTGCAAAAGGCTGAGAGCATGACTTGAGCTAAGCACAGGAGTGCAAGTGTGCATTTTACCATTAGAGAGGGACTGATGTGTCACTGACATCTTACAAGACTACCCCAACTATTACACCATGCTTGGGCAGAAAGCATCAACCTCTGCTACTGTGTGTGGATGCAAGGAGTTGTTGGCTCCAGTTCTCATCTCTAGAGAAGAAAAAAACAAGGGCAGCAAACTTCCATGTGGAAAAGATGTGTCATACAACAGACAAGAAAAGCAAAGCATAACCTTGTAACTCTCCACCCTGTGCCAGAGAGCATCTGGGCTGCTAGGCCAACCTTGGGTTTGCTTGTGTCCTCTCTGATGTGGCCCTGTGCCTCATGTGTTCCAGGCTGCACAGGTGCTCAGCTGCAACACCCACCATCCACACTGTCCCATGGTTGCTGGTTTTAACATTCTGCTGGGAAGTTGGAGCTCAGGGCTTAATTAGAGTCTAAAAACATCACCCACTTCCTTTCTTACAAGTTTTTGCATCTTTATGCAAAATGTGGGTGGAAGCACTGTGATCTCATTAACGTCAGTCCTGCAGTAGGGATAGAGAGGCTGGATCCTGTGTTGATGGAGTGTTAGGAGTGTTTCAGATGAGTTTCCCAGAGGACATCAGTGCTCTAGCTGCAGGCTGGCTTTGCCCACTGGCACTGGGAGTTCAGTTCCAGCCAGTGGAAAGAAGGAGGCACTCTAAGTGCCTCAAAGAAAGATGTCATTTTCTGCAGGTCTTCAGAAGTGCCTCTCTTTGTGTCCTCTGCCCATACAGCAGAGCTGAGGAATTAGATTGCTCCTCTTGTCCCTTCCAGGGCTAAGACACCTAAAATTTCATTGAGGTAATAATGTCTCAGTGAGGTATCTAACGTAGATGGATGAGATTTCAGCCTGAATACTTGGGGCTTTGGAGTAATGACTGCAAGAAAAACCAAAGTGTCAATAATAAGATGCAAGCTGTTGAAAACCAAAGAAAAGAAAGTATTGATTAAAATAAGGATGTATTAGAGGACTATTTGAAAAGATTTAAAGACTACAGCCTTTTGTAATTTTCATTCTTCCTCCATGTCCCATTAGACTTTAGAAAAAAAAATAATTTAATATATTGTTGGAAAAAAATTTTCTCATCTTTTCTGTGACACTGTACTCATGAACCATGGAGGGCTGAAAATCATTTGTAACACGCTGAGAAAAAGTAGTGAGTCCAGTAAGACTGTAATGTTAACCCATCAGTTTTCCCTCAGTTAGTCTAATTCCTTGGATAGCATTGCCTGAAAAAAGACAGAGTATTTATTGCAGTAGCTTGAATATGCATCAATTGATTTTATTATACTAGAAAACCTGAGAAAGTATGGTTTATTTATATACAGATTGTGTAAATACACTGTAGGCAAGTTTCACAGTTTAATGTTGAAAGGGCTTTCATTAATGTTGTAGTTCTGAGAAAAGGATGTAAAGCAACATAAAAGAGTCAGGATTTGATTTTTACTGAGATAACTTGAAAGAATAATTCACCTTTAGTAAATGTGTTTCTTCTTTCATGTTGTTTTATGTGTTGCTCTTTCTAGTACTCCATGCATGGTTGCAAAAAATATACATTAAGAATGAATCTCTCATTGATGTGACTTAATGATGTCTATAATTTATGTTTGCCTAATTCTCTGTGTTAATAAAAAAAAATCACCAGAGATCTATAAAATTAAATGGTTGGTTTTGTCCTGGAGCAACTACACACTATGCTTTTACTTTAGGTGTATTTCTGACAGAAGACATGAAGTCAGTTCTGCTGAGCAATGTAATCTGATACTGAAAAAGTATCTTGTTAATTGTATTGTTTTTTAGAAAGTATGGAGTGGAGTTTTTTTTAAAGGCTAGGAGACTGCATTTAAAGGCTAGGAGACTACACTTCCAGAACTTTGTATGGCTTCCCATCCTTCTCAGAGACAAAAAGTTACCTAAAGATTTGAAACTGAATATATGGGCCAACGTCTCCTATTGTGCAATGACTGATTTTGGTTTGTATCGACACTGAGGCTTATCTGCATTTTTGAAAACCCACCGGTTCTGTGAATGAAAGCCACGGCATCAGGACTAGGCGCTCTATTTCCGGTAGCCGAAATCAGCCACCTACCGCAAGAGCTGGCAGACAGGACCCGCTTCTCTGTCCCGAGTACTCAGATTAAGGCTGAGCATTGAAAACTGACAACACGATATAGCATGCGATATACTAGTTATCACTGTAAAGAAGGTATTCGTCAGACAGGTGTAAAATTCCGCCTCCTGAGGTAGGAAAGCTCCGTACAGCGAGCTACATTTGGAGAAATCGGTACCTGCAACTGAGACCTCGAGAGGAGTGAGCCTGAGGGATGCCCGAGGTGAGAGGGGCCGTGCCCAGACCCAGTGACGCCGTGGGAGTCCGCAGCAGCCCCTCATTTGTGCCAGAGTGAAGGGAAATGGTGAGACAACCCCGATGAGCGCTTTCAGCCACGGGATCCTGAAGCAACGCCGTGCGCCTCACTCCGCCTAGGCACTGACTGTCTTGTAGCTGTCACAGATGGGGCAGCAGGAGTCCCTGCGCCCCAGCCCCGGCGGCCTCACCGGGCGGGCTGTCACGCCGCCACCGCCTTCCCCGCGGCTGCACCGCCGCGCACGCCGCCCCGCTCCGTCTCCCCCTGCCCAGCCGCTCGGGCGTCCCGGCGGGGGCTGAGCCGCCGCCTTGTCGCTGCTGCCGCCGCCGAGGCCGGTCCGCCCGCCGCCGCCCCTTCCCTTCCCTTCCCCCGCCACCGCACATGCCCAGAAGGGCGGGAGCCGCGGCGAGCCCGGGCGCTGCTGTGACAGCGGCGGCGCTTTCCCTTCCGTGGGTGGGTGGGGGCCGCGCCGCGCCCCCCGGCCCGGCCCGGCCCGGCGGAAACACTGCGCCGGCCGCCTGCTCGCCCAGTGCCTTCCCCGCCGCGCCCCGAGCCCGCTGCCGCCGCGGGGCGGGAGGCGGCCATGTCGCTATTGTCTGCGCTGGTGCCCTTGCTCCGGGTGTACTGCATCGGCCTCCGCGTCATCCTGCACCAGCTGCGCCGCCGCTTCCAGCCGCGGTGCGCCCCGGCCTCAGGTGAGCACCGCAGCCGGCGCCGCGGGGCGGGGCGGCTCCGGGCCGGGGGGCGGCAGCCCCCGCCGCGGAGAGGGGAAAGTTTGCCGCGCCTCCCCCCACCCACCACGGGCAGGCGGCAGTTCGGGGCCCTGGGGCCGAGACCGCGCGGCCCAGCCGGGAGCGGCCGGACAGGGAAGGAAAGGAGAGAACAGGGCAGGGCAGCCGCGACCTTGGCTATAGCGAGGGGTGCTCGGGCCGTGCCGCATCCCCCGAAGCGGGGCAGGGGCTGAGGCACCGCGGCGGCCCCGGTACGGGCGCCGCCGCCGGACTCCTCCCTTGCTCCCCTTCGCCGGCCGAGCGGGACCCGCCGAGCTGCCCGAGGACAGCGGCCCCGGGGGGGCTACGACTGGCGGGGCGCCCTCCCCGCCCCCGCCGCACCCCGCCCTCGCTGCCGGCGCCAGGCCCCGGCCCCACCGCCCTGTCCGGCCCCCGGGCCGCGGCCGCCCCGGACGCGGGGCGGGGCGGGGGGCCGGGCCCGGGACGGGCGCCTGGCTGCACGCCGGCCTGACTTGTGGCCTCGGGAGGCGGTGTGGGGGTTCCGTGGTCCGGGGGTCCCCGCTTCTCTTCTTCCTCTCTTTGGCTCTCTGACAGTGTCTCCCGAGACCTCGGCTCAGAGCCGCGCGGGCGCTCCCTCCCTCAGCCCAGGTAGGTGCTTGGAAGGCGGGTAGCGGTGGGCAGCCTCCCCCGCCCCGGGCGCTCCTGCTGCCCGCTGTGCCCCCACCCCACCGGGGCGGCCGGGACCACCGCTTTCGGCTTCCCTGTCCCGGCTGCTCTAGGAGGGGAACGTACCCGTGCTCCAAAAGCTTAGTATTTGATACTGGCTGACACTCGCTGACAGCCTCTAAGCTGATGAGTGGGTGACAGTTGCAGTGTTTTCTAAGGGACTTCAGATTAGTCGTTAGTTTAGGAAGTTAGGTTTTTGCACTTTTCTGATTTGGATCAAACGTGTGTTAAATGCTGACTTATGGGAAACTTTATCAGAAAAAAACAACGATCTGCTTGCATTACTCTTGAAGACTAAAATGTTTCTGAGTTTATAAACTTAGAGCAAACTATGAGTTCAGGCAGATGTGTAGGTTATCATCAGAGCTGACCATACTGCTGCATTGAAGACCATACCTTTAACTTTCTCTCCTTATCCGCAAGTGAGCCTTTGTGGCCCTCTTGATAGTTTTAACTAGAGGAACAGTAAAAAAAGTAATATTGAGAGGGCCTAATGTTTCAGTAAGGAATTCAGGCAGATGAAGGTACTGGTACGGACAATATCTGAAATACTGGGAAGGGGATGGAACAAGTACACCGCACAATAGGAGCTTATTTGTTCATCTTACCACACGTCGCATCCTTGGGTAGTGTTTTGTGTGCTTTTTATTCATTCCTGATTCTTCTGCTGGGGTTCCCTTCCTCATTCTCAGAAGGCAATGAAACCCTCAAACAAATGAGAGGACCCCAGTGACAAAAAGGGCAGATGTGCATATGGTTTGAAGTCATCTGAGCATTTTTTTAGCATTAGCGTTTCTTGGCAGAGGAAATTTGGGTATTTTGCCTAGGGTGTGTAACACTTTCCAAATCTTTTTTTGAACCACAGAGAAACAGCGTGACGAAAATGTGACCCAGTGTTTTGTTGCACTCTGCTCTTTGCTGCTAGTGAAAAAAAAGCATTGAATTTGGAAATGCCAGAGGAAGGCAGTGAAGATCCAACCCAGGAAATGTCACTTACCTAAGTGGGACCAAGGCAGATTTGACAGATGTGAAAAGTTTTCTTTAAGCCCTAACTTGTGATCTTTTTTTCCAAGGACAAGTGGTTTCCTCCTCAACTAGTTGTTTGCACACAGTTCCCTCTTGGCAGTTACCTGCTGCCTTGCTTTCACCGCTGTGTCCAGCCATTGCTTAAAGAACTGCTTCACCTTAACAACTGCAACCTTTTTACCCAGATGAACCTTGTTTCTATAATAACTTCAAAATAGTGATGTCAGTGTAACAAAAAGAAAAGTGTTGTTAGAACAAGCTTGGATCAGTAAACTACAGTTTCTGTAAGAAAACCCTGACTACCTTTTTCAGGCCGTAATCTAGAAAGGTGTGTATGTTTAAAATTTTCGGTATCTTTTCTAAGGGGTGTCCGTAACTCTCACAAGTACAGGCATTTTATTGTCAGGGTGCTTTCCTTGGGAGTGCTTGAAGGGCAAAGGGGAGCTGGGAAGGACAGGACCCGGAGGCAGAGATGGCCATTCCTCTGATCCTCTCTTCCCTGGCCCCAGTTTCCATATCAGAGTTCCCACTCTCTGTGCAGCAGCACTGCAGATCTCGCTTGGAAGATTTAAAAGAGAGAGATGTCTGCTGGCTTGTCCTTTAGCTCTGTTGATGAGTGAAAGGTTCTGGTCTCAATGCAGCCCTTCTGCCTCTGAATTTTCCAAGAAATTGCTTTCTAATTCTTGTTGTGAAGAAGGGCTCAAGATTTTAATCCAAGTAAACAGAACTAGTTTCACTTTTATTTTTCCTTACCCTAACTTAAGAGTTGTGTGCTCTTGGCACATGTGCTTTTAAAACTGACCCATGTGTTCTTTCACATCCTACTGGAGTTCATCTGATTTTTATAGATGGAATTTGAGACATTTTTTTTGGGAAAGAGTTTCAGCTCTGAAATCTAGGTTCAGTGCAAAAACCTGGTAATTGTTTTGAGTTGCAAACTGAAAAATAATAACATTCTCTATTCAGGTGAATGTCCCCCACCTCAACACAGAGTAGGAAAGTTAACCTGAAACTCTGATCTTGAAGCTCAGGGAAGGAAAATACAGAGCTGCGACTACAAACAGCGTAGTTTGTAGTCAGCGATTGCTTTGCTTACTAAAATCAGCATAGAGGAAAGTGCAGAAATAAAGGGGAACTTAAGTTAAACTTAAAAATACTTCTCCAAGTACTAATTGCATAAACAGTATAACTGCTAATACCTAGTTTTAGTGTTCAGTGGTTTAAACTATTAATAGTTTTCTTAGAAATTACTGTTTGGACTTCTTTACAGTGCTTAATCTTAGTTAATTAGAGGGAGGAAAAAAGCCCTGCATGACTAAAGTTCCTGATTAAAACAGCTTTTTAAAAACACAAATCTAATCAGTGGATTGATAAAAGATAAACCAATATTAATTGTGACACTAGGATATTACCAGTGGAAATGTGATCACCAAAAGTCATCCTACTGATAAGAAAAATGGTTCATATAATTAAAAGCTTCTCAAGGAATTTATTTGGCATCTTTCTCCTGCATTTTTTCTTCTCCTGTACATATTTAATTGAAATTTAGTCGGGGAAACCTAAATCCTGAGTGTTACATAGTAGTTTTGAAGTCTTTGCAGTTAAATTTGGAAACTGTAATGTGTAGAAAAGGAAAACCTATCTGAAGAAGGTGGTTATGTGGAACAAGTTAAGGAGATCATAAATGTGACTCCTGCTCTTCTTAAAAGTTGTTGAAATTTCATACATTTTTTTTAATTTCCTCAGTTTTTAGTTACTCAGTATCCACATTGGTACCAAGTTCCTTTACAGTTAATTGTGAAATGTTGATTTAGGATCATGCATCTCTTAATTTTGATTCATATTTTGAGGTCTCTTACTTTATATGACTAAAGCGTAGTGGGAGCCCGAGCACTTCCTGCTCAAAGCTGTGTGAGCTCCAGGTAGTAAATCATCCAGAGGTGGGTAAGGAAATGACCAGGTAGACAGGATTGATGGCAGGCAAAAATGCAGTTACATCAAGCAGTTAAACCCTCTCCCCACGCATGCCCCTAAAAGAGTCATTAAGTTATTTTCAGAATGAGGAATCACTTGCTTTATGGTTGCCCCTCTGGTGACTGAGGCAAAGGTTGTGGGACAGGGATACCCACAGGGTGCCATTGCTGTGCATGCACAGGGAGGCAGAGCTAAGGTTGCAGGGTGTCTGCACACCCCACGTTTCCTCACATCCCCATGCTTGGTTTCACAATCCAAGTGACTGTCGTGTGGGTTTTGAACCAATTTTCTTTGCCAGTGGGGAAACTGAGCCCTACCTGCAAGGGTAGCACAGCTGCCTTCCAGGACACAAGCCACCACTAGCATTGACATTTTGGCCCAAGGCCTGCTCTGGAGAGAGAGATCTTGTGTTTGTGTTAGGAGAATGAGACAGGGAGTCTGAGAGGTGTGAGGAGACAGCACAGCCTGCCCCAAACAGCAGGGATGAGGTGCTAGGGCCGGAAAGTCTGGACTCTTCCTCCTCCTGCAGCAGCAGAGTTTGCTGCAAAGCCAGCAGAGGATCCTCTCTGCAGGCTCTTAGAAGCCTCTGTCCTGGTACTGGCTGGTGGTGTTGGCCAGCTGTATGGAGGAGGCAAGGGAAGGAAACAGCAGCTGTTCCAAAGGTGCTCTCCTCTCGGTGGGAATTCAGGGTTGCTGCTGTTTTTGCCAGGAGTAGACTATGAACACTTTTTCTGAAAGTGAAGTTTACCTCCTCCTGGAGTAAAAGGAGGGGTCTGGGGTTTGGGTTTGTGTTCATAATGCTAGTTATGCTGTATAACACTCGATGAGAGGCAGGCATGATGAGCAGTTTATATTTGAGCTGTTACTAAAGGCAGTATTATAGTGGCATATCCTTAGCTGTGGCAGTGCTACTCTGGGCCACTATTGCCAAGTGCCCGATACATCACAAAATGAAGGCAAAGCTGTGACATACATAAGAATGAAGAGTGGGGTGAGTCTGTAACACTCCCATACTCTGAAATAACTTCTACTTTGTCAGTTGGTGATGAACTTTTTATGATCCAAGGTGTGTCATACTAATTTTGAACATTAAAGATGCATCAACTCTTTTATTTCAGTGCCTTCCTCCTTACTTTCAGGAATTGCCAGGTAAACTGCAGGGGAAACTGTAAGATTTAGTGAAATGCCATGAGCCTCTGTGCTTCCTCAAGACAGCATGTCATGGATTGAAACGGAGG